TGATGACGCATTTCTTTCTGTATTGGCCAATCAGGTGGCTAACCGTGGGCGAGACCACCGTGCTTACCCTGTGGCTCCTCGCCATGGGATCCCAGTGCTGGCAAGGTTAGTAGTGCAGAGAGAGACCCCGCCCCCTTTCAGGCCGAGCTTTTGGTCGGTGAACTCCTCGCTGGTAGCCGTCACAGAGAACTGCTGCAGCGAGCCGTGTCTTTTCTTCAGTGGATCCGGAAATTATTCTCCGTTTATCTTGCAGTTGCTGCACGCATGCTATGATGCAGCCACTCGTTTTCGGCCCACCAAAACAATGATGAGGGACCAAAGGGCCGTTTTCTGTTGAAGTCCCGATCGAACGGGTATTCTTTCTTGCATGGGTCTATGACACGCAGATTTGTATGAATGAAATTCTCCGCTCTTTGTCCTCTCCCTTGCTACGGACGCCGTCACGCTCCAGGGGTGCTGAACCACGGCAACCACTTCCATGATATCTACATGGTGTGCCCTGACGATCCGACCCAATGGTGCAACCAGTTCTCTTTCGAGTCCGGAGGGCCTACACCGAACCAATACAGGTAAGTTCGTCGTGTTCGGTTCTCGATTTGTTTCGGACAAGAAAATATTTGTGTTTCGTCTGTGTGTCGACGTTGTGTGCCGCACAAAATGAATATTCAATCAATCAATCGTGCATGCTTCTAGACTACATCGGACGAATGACAAAACACGTGATGTTGCAAAGGACGGTTCACCACAACCAGACAGAGTGAATATGTCAATTCCACCTCTGTAACTGAGCGCGTATTGATTGACAGCCTGTTTGCACCAGTCCGTACCACGAAATGACGCAATTTCATTCATTGTGTGAGTGAAACATCATCGACGATGTAAGAAAATGCGCTGAGGCTACGGTTCAGGTGCCACGTCGGTGCAAGAAATGGACCCAAACTGATGGTCCGATAATCGACGGCTAAGCCGCATAATACAATCTAAATGTAAAGACTGCCCGCTTGAGGAAGCATCCCATTCGGGATGTGTTGGGGGCAGCAGTGGTGGCGTCATTACGTCGAGGGTTGATTGTGGAAGAAAGTTTGTTTTGATTTCCCATCCGAAGGGTGGCGCATTGCTTGTGCTGATCGCCACCGGATCGCGGCATTATAGCTCGTTGTTCTTCTCTTCTTCCCGTTGCCTTCCAAACACGTTTCGCATCGCCACGTTGCCTCGTGAGTTCTTAAGGATATACTTTCCACCCCGGTGGTCTAGTGCCTAACCTGGTAACTCACGTTGTAGTGTCAGTGACTTCGATTGTCTCTCGGGAGTGACGAAAAGCTACGATTTGTCCGATTTGTCGTACAAGCCAAGCCACGTTCTTCCGCTCGGTAACCAAGCCACGTTGCACGTACATGATCATATACCGAACCTCTTGTCTTCCCGCGCAAAAGAACACGCACCTGCCTCGAAAATTGCAATCACAACACTAACGTTCGAGACGACACCACAGTCGAAAGGGATGTGTCGAAGTCTTAACCACAATGGTAGACTACAGTACTGCGGCCCACGTGTACCCACTCATTCATTCGCACCTCACGCGTGTTGGCATTGATATACATATAAGCAAGCGCGGCGTCCGCCCATTTTTTGGTGGTGAGTATCGTCCCCGTTACCGAGTTTTGCTCACATCCGAATCTGTCTTTGGGTTCACTTTCTTACCCCAGTAAGTCCTCCCTAGGCGTTTGTTTATTCCGTTCCAAATTTCACGATCCGTTCCGCGTCTCGTACCGAGAGATCGTATTCCGGATGTGCCACGATCCTTCCTCCTGCTGAACCATCGGCCCCCGTTGTCGGGCAAAAACAGGTTGAGAATGATTGGCATCTTCATGGGGCTGGTGTGCTCCTCCCACTTCGCGATCATCCTGGTTCCGGTATCCCGCGACAGCAAGATCTGGTCGGCCCTCGGGGTACCGTTCGAGCGGGCCGTGCTCTACCACGCCATCGCTGGCCACCTCGCCTTCACCTCCCTCTTCTTCCACGCCCTCCTCCTCACGGCGCACTGGGTCCAGTACGAGGGCTGGAGCCACGCCGTCCACGAGTCCATCCACTTCGACCCCAACACCCACGGAGGTAGGCGCCTACGGCTCTTCAGGAAACCCCTCTAGCCCTACTCGTCCCAAGGCATTACTACAAGATCTTAACCTGGCAGTATTCTAACGCGGAAGAGGCCGGTGTCTCGAATATCTGCGTCTCGAATCTAACATATTACATGTATGTACGTGTGGTGCGTGGGTAGACGAGTCGTCGTCTTTATGCTTGACGTTGTTGTTGGTGGTGATATGGCAATGAGCCGCTCGCTCCATTGACGGATATTGTAGCGGCCGATCTTGTGCCCGGCCGCATGCTCCTTTCCGTTTTTCCTGCACCGGTGAGCCCGCAATCATCACCCGTGGTCGCAACGCGAAACGATGAAGGGGTCGTGACAACACACGAGAAAATAAACACCAGAACCTCTCCAGTGCTTGACTCCTTCCCTGCCCCCCCAGCCAGAAACTATCCCATGCCCTATCTATGGTTCCACCGGTCATCGACAATCGGATGTACCAAGGACTAAGCAACTCTACCCACACGCTCCACCTTGTCGTCCCATTCCTCCCACACCTTCTTTGTGCCCAAGGCGTGGACACTCCCATGGGTTGGATGGCTGGACTCTGCGCGATCCCGATGTGGGCTACCTCGGTGAACTGGGTCCGGCGAAAGTACTACAGCCTGTTCAAGCTCGCACACTGGCTCTTCATCGGCGTCTTCGTGTTCAGCGTCATGCACGTGCGTACATGACATTGTATCATCTTCATAATTTTGAAGGGAGAGGGGGGGGGTGAGCCGGGTGCATATATAGGACGAGACCCGGACATAGTCCTTCATTCTACTTACGGGAAATAGGGGTTTAAGACTAGGTGCATCCAGTTACGTATTGGAACAGTTCTGCTGTTTTGTGTTTTCTGGGGCAGACCAAATTTGCCTTCTGCAAAAACGACGTGGTCCCCCGCCCGACGTCTCTCGTTCATGTAGTTTCACCGTGCACGTGTGTTTGGTCCACTCTCACTCAACATTTCATTCAGTGGTCGCTTGCAACAAGCAGGAAATGCTTCAAGCATGCGGACTTATGCGCATTCACCGATCCTTGCTGTCACCTGCGGTGGCAGTTATCCCTAAGGTTCTCTCTTGTATCGCCGTCTGTGATCGTTTGTTGATTCTTCGCTCCTGCGCTTCAGTGGGCTCCCAACGCGCTCTACTTCCTGGGCGGGTTGACGCTGTACATCATGCACGTGCTGTCGAGATTGGAGTCGTGGAAGCGGTGAGTCTAGTGCTTTCTCCTGTTGTGCCGATGATGAGGCCTGGTTCATCCTTGACCGTGCGTCATGGCATTCGAGCTTCACCACGAACGAAGCGTATGCATACCGAGACTGACTGGGAGAATGTCGACCTGATTCTCAGCCATCCTCCCGCAAGCCCGATCCATGCCTCGCGCCTACCCTTCGCCACATATTCATTCGTACTGCGTGGCTCCTAGTCTTCTGGCCGGTAAAGCGTCAGTCCTCCCCCTCGCCGAATCCCGTGGATACGCTACTTCGTCCTCCTTCCTTCTAAATACACGTCAACTGGCACGTTCGAGCCACGTGACCTGCTGCCGACAAGAGCCTCATCTACTCTCCCAATCAAATCGCCCCCCACCCCACCCCCTCGCTTACTCCCGCTCAGGTGGCGTTACTGGAACCGATGGTTCAGCTCGGACGCCAGCAAGGCCAGCCCGACCAGCCTCGTCAGCGTGGCGACGAACGACAACTACACGCGGCTGGTGCTCCGCAACCCCAAGACCGGCGGCGTCGGGGACAGCGGCGACAGGTCCGCCCGTGGGGGATCCTTCGTGTACATCAGCGTCCCCGCCGCGCTCGGCACCGACGAGGCCCACGCCATCACCGTTGCACTCCGCGGAGCCCCCCCTTCCTTCTCACACGCGGCGAAACTCTCGAGCGGCAGAAACAGCGCCGCCCAGGAGGACGAGAACGACGTCTTCACCGTGTACATCAAGGACCTCGGGAAATGGACGAAGACCCTGAAGGACACGGCAAGGGGCGCGGAGGCCGCGGGGGACGCTCGCTCGCTACTGGTGGACGTGGACGGCTTCTACACCCAGGTCCAGTCGTTCAGCTCCATGAAGGTCGCGGGGGGGACGTCGCGCGTCATGGTGGTTGCCGGGGGGTCGGGAATGACTTCTCTCATGGGATTCATCCAGGTGAGAGGGTACGAGGGTATTTTGGCGGCGGTCCCATTCCCGGGGATCGGAAGTTGGAATACAAAGTCTACGGCGACAGCTCGGTACCGGGAGCCTCAGTTTGTGTTTTCAAGAGGTTGGGCAGCGCCGGCCATGCTACCTTACACACAGGCGACGTTTATGAACGAAACAAATGCGTCATGAGAGCGTTATGTGCCCTTGAAGAGTGGTACGTAGCGAGGTGCAGGATTTTCAATGCGCCCCGTCGGTCCTGACCCTCTTTCTCAGGACTGGGCTGTCGCCGCAAGGGAAGGCGCCGACGTTCCGGAGGTAAACCTGGCCTGGTGCTGCCGGTACATGTCGGAGATGGAACTGGTCGGCGAGTGTCTCCCCTCCGTGCTCGCCAGCGCCGGCAGCAAGAAGGACACGCACTTCTCGATGTCCCTCTACTGCAGCAGCAGCAAGGTGTGCCCTGCCGAGTTGTTGTTGTTCTCGGTTTTCCGCGTAGCTTCTGTCACCCGGTGCCGTCAATATACTCTGCAGCGGCGAGATAGGCGCGATCGCGAAGCCGCAAAGCTTTGTCGTTGTGGGCAAGCACAACTAGTCTCAATGCAGTCGCACTAAAGGGCCGTTGGAAAAGTAGTCTAACCCTTGCTGGGTTTTCACTACTGCGGCTCGGAAAATGGCATCGACGCTCGCTGGAATATGCATTTCTGGAACGTGAAGATCGCACCTACCCCAATCTCAGGTTTCCTCTCGCGCCCTGTCCGTCTGTACGTCTATCTCTCTCCCTCCCTCTCTCTGGCTCTCTGGCTCTCTGGCTTCCCTGAAACTTCTTCGCCCCAACACCGATGGCGAAACAATCGCCCAACATCACCAAAGGCTGACAGCAACGAATCTCTCACCGTCACATGGCCCCTGGACGCGAACGCCTACGCCCACACTAGCACCCAGGATAACGTCATCGGCACCGGCCACGTCGCCGCCAGCCTCAACCACAGCGTTCGCGTTATCGTGGCGGGTGAGAAAGCAGCACGTCAACACTCGATTGTGTTTGTACACCATGTAAAGCCAAACGCAATGTGGTGGCCATCTCATGTTGATACTTGATTGTGTTTGTCCACCCTGTAGGGCCCCGCACACTACCGAGTCGGACGAAAGGCCTCCGGAAATTTCCCAACAACGGCATTTTGTTGTGTGCGACCACATGCGTGGGAGGTAACCAGCGGTAGTTGGTGTTGGCCGAGGTCCTCCACGCGGAGAAATACGCGATTAATAGTTAAGTGTGTTGTTTCGTCAGGTGCTCAGAGAATTGGCCGGACACCGGCAGTATTGTTCAGAGTCCAAAACAACTTTGGTTGTTTCACTCTGTGCCGGCCAACAAACCAGCACAGTACCGGGCACCGGCACTAAACAGGCCTTTCCCACTGTACCACCAATGCATACGACATGACAGGTCTCGCCGCTTTCGCGGGATACATCCTGGGCTACTGGGAGGTGGACCGACGGGACCTGATGAACGTGTTCCACGAGGGGGCCATCATCTTCGTCCTCATGGTGATCTGCATCATCAGCTCCCTGATCGTGTACGATTGGCTCTTCTTCTTAGTCCGTAAGCACCTCCTCGGCAAGCGTGTGGACAGCGCCGAAGCATCGCAGGTGAATGGGAGTCCGCAAGCCGTTGTTAATGTTTTTGGTCGATACGGCATTACGCGGTGGTGCTACGCTTTCGCGGGATCCGTCACGTGATCCTTCGTGTAATCGAGAATTGATCATATCACGATCGAGTCAGGTGCTGCTTGTGTTCCGTGGAACACGCCGAAGCATCCCCGAGGGGGGGGCGCAGCCATCATGTCTGGTTGGTTCATGATACTGCTAGATCTTGTTTCTGCAACCGTTCCCCTTCCTAAATTCGCCTTGTCGCAACCTACATAATATTGTCGCTGTGTTCATTTAACTCGAGGTAACCGCCTCTTCTTCTGATAGACACGGACAATATGGCACTGATGCTTCAACAGCCCCCCACTGTATATCCTCATTCTTTCGCCTCGTTATCGCCCACCGTCGTCATTGCGGCCGCTCACTCATCACCAACCCCGTATACCTTCATCCACGCCATTTGTTTTAGGCCAGCGGGCGCTCCGCCAGAGTCGGCGAGGAGTCCAAGATGGACCTCGAGTCCTCCACCGTGGCCGGCGTCGGCAGCGTCACCTACAACGTCAACCCGGGCCGCGTACCCACGCAGGCCCTCCTGATCCGGGAGGCCGAGCTCGCCAAAAAGAGCAACACCTCGTCCGTCAGGGTCCTGACCAGCGGACCCAACTCGCTCGTGGACGGCGTGCTCGCCGAGTCCCGCGCGATCGACTGGAAGCTCTTCGACACCGAGGCGTTCTCGTTCGAGTTCTAATTTTGTTTTTCCCCGGCCTTTCTCCCTCCCGTGGTTTATGTATTCGGAAAGATTGTCCCGTCTTTCTCACGTCAGAAGACGCCCAGCTCCTCCGGGTGCTGCGGCGACACTCTTCAAGTAACCTACGCCGGCCGCGCGATCGAGTGTTT